GGCATGCACCATCACTGTTTTTTATTGGGCAGGAGTTACCAGATTAGAGAAAATGCTTTCAAAATGAATGTATACTGAACATTTTAGAAATTTCTAGCTAGGTATAGATTTTTTTCTAATTAACAGAAGAAGTTTACTTGATATAACAAAACAATAGTGTTCTACTCAACCACAAAAAGCAGAAAAAATGAAAAAAATGAGTGTGCAAAAACAAAACCCAAGATGCCTAAATATGTTATTACATATTTACTTGTGTGCTTCCTGTAGATACATATGTATACGGCACTTGTGTGGAGGTGAGGATTTCAGTTTTTTCACTTTGCACATCCTGGGGATTGAATTTAGGCTGTCAGACTTAGTATTCATATTGTCAGTCTGTCCCCCCCCAAAAAAAAAGAAAAACAAAAAACAACCTCAAAATACTTAATGTGACAAATATACATATTCCTGAAATAATACTTTGAAATTCCTTAGTTCTTTTTTGGAAACTTGTTTTGATTTATTTTTAGTTTATGTGCATGTGTGTTTCATTTGTGTGTATATCTGTGTACCATGTCCATGCAGTGCCCATAAAGACTATCATCTCCTCTGGAACTGGATAGGTTTGTGAGCCACCCTGTGGGTCCAGGGAGTCAAACCACGTTTCTCTGGAAGAGGAGTCAAGGAATATTATTTTAAGTGGGCAAAGATGTGTTACATTTGCTTATGTTGTCTTTGTTAATGATGTAAAGTTATGTTACATTTGTTTATGCTGCCTTTGTTTAACTGTGTAAAGATGTGTTGCTGTTTTACTTTGCCTGCCTAAGGCACCTGATTGGTCTACTAAAAAGCTGAATGGCCAATGGCTAGGAAGCAGAGGGTTAGGCAGGGCTGATGGGCATAGAGAATAAATGAGAGAGAAGAGAAACAAGAGAGAAAGAGAGGGACAAAGCTGGGGCCAGAAGCCAGGCAGCTTGCCTGCCAGTCAGACACTGGAAGAAGTAGGAAAGTAAGAAAGAAAGAAAGAAAGAAAGAAAGAAAGAAAGAAAGAAAGAAAGAAAGAAAGGTAAAAAGCCCTGAGGCAAAAAGAAGATGAAGAGAAACAGGTTAATTTAAGTTAAAGAAATAAAAGCTAGCCAGAGATGAGCACAGTCTAAGGCCAAGCGTTCATAATTAATAAGAAGTCTCCATGTCCTGATTTGGGAGCTGGTTGGTGACCCAAAAGAAAAAGCCTGGTACAGGGCTCCTAATCGCTGAGCCATCTCCCGGGTTCTTGAGAACTGTATAAAACAGAAGGTTTCTAGCAGCAGCAGAGCTCCTAAAACCAAATCCATTGTTTTGAGAAATGAATGGGCAACTGGAAATGATGTCTCATGCCTTTAATCGCAGCATGCAGGGAGCAGAGACAGGCGAGTTCGAGGCCAGCTTGGTCTACAGAGTGAGTTACAAGACAGCCAGTGCTGCATAATGAGACCCTGTTTCAAAGATGGAGGGGACGGGGATGGACAGATGATGGACCACATATGAGGCATCTTCTACTGACAATGCATGCTTTCTTTCTCTGTTTGCAGTCTGCTAGAAATACCAACCCAGGGGCCAGGATATTTCAGTTTAAGATTTTTGTTTATTTTTCTTCTTCCTTTTCTTTTTTGAGGGCATTTCAGTTTAATATCAGTTACCCAGCATTAGCATAAACTCCGACAACTTTGGGTCAGGTTCTGTTTTCTTTGGAGCTGGCAAAGTGACCACCAGACAACAGGTCATTATTCTGAATGGAGAGCTTTGTACCAAGAAGTCACATCCCTTCTAGCTATAATTTGCTATGTATCTAATGATTTTTTTCATGTAATGATTATTGATGAGTCTCAGAGAACTTCAGCCACATGTTGGACTCTCCTCTTCTTCACCTGAGACAGGGTCATGAGATTCAGGGTTGCACCGAACTTCCTCTTGAAGGGAAGAGGCAAAAGCACCTTGTCCTAAGTGCTGCCATTTTGACTTCAGACTCCATTTCACCTGTACAGTTAAACAAAGTTCAGGTTCCCAAGTCCTAGGGGAGCTGAGATCCTTGTGATAGCCGACCCACCTCCTACCTAAGCCATAGAAATAATAGTTATGCATCTTTAGTTCTTTAGAAACATTGTAGCTGTTCCTAACTACAGAAGGAACAGATCAATCTGATTGGCTGGACTGAAAGTCTTGCATAGCATGTACAATGGTTAACAATGATGGAGCGTTCAAGGAGCCCCTGATCTTTAAATTGTGATTGTAACTATAACTTGGCAACAAATGCTTGTGACTTTTGTGCTTAAATACTTGCTTCAACTGGTATTTGGTGTCCTGATGGATCAAACCCCTCCCCTTTCCCCTTCCTTTGTGCTGTCCTGCACTAAATCTTGCCTTGAGGTGACTAATGTCTTGTGTCTGCTTTTGGTTGTTTCAGAGCCTTAGACGACAACATCTGTAGTGGAGAGCATCTTGAATACCCCTGGTCCTCCTGCTTCTACTCAGCAGTAGCCGGGGTTCTTGCAGTGTACCGCCACACCCAGCAGGTTTACTTACCTTTGTGAAACTAACTGGTGAATGCTTCTTGGGGTCTTCCTGATGTTTATTTCCCCAAGCCTTGTGCAGGAAGAGGTGTGTTATGGGTGCATTAGATGCTGTGATGCAATATTTGAGAGCATCAGTTTTTTGTTGTTGTTATTGTGTTTGTTTGCTTTTGTTTTTGTTTTTCCAGACAGGATTTCTCTGTGTTATAGCTCTGGCTGTCCTAGAACTTGCTCTGTAGACCAGGCTGGCCTCTAACTCACAGAGATCCACCTGCCTCTGCCTCCCAAGTGCCAGGATTAAATCATGATTTACCACTGCAGGGCTTTGAGAGGATCAATTTTGAAAGACAAAAGTGCCTTCAATCCCAGGACTCTGGAGGCAGAGGCAGTCGGATACTGTGAGTTCGAGCCCAGCCTGGTCTACAAGAGCTACTTCAGGACAGCCTCCAAAGCCACAGAGAAACCCTGTCTCGAAAAACCTAAAAAGAAAATTATTTAAATTTTTTAGATAAGTAATTACATTTTCCCCTTTCCCTTTTCTCCTCCACATCCTCCTCTGTACCCTCTCACCTTGCTCTCTTCCCAAGCCATGGCTTCTTTTCCTTACAGGTGAATGTTTTGCCTGAATGCATGCATATGTAGCATGTGTATGCTACCAGGAATTGAAGCTGGATCCTTCTTCCCAAGGACAGCAGGTACTCTTAGTTACTGAGACATTGCTCCAGCCTTGAGAAAGATTTCTTTTAGCCGGGCATTGGTGGCACACGCCTTTAATCCCAGCACTCAGGAGGCAGAGGCAGTCGGATCTCTGTGAGTTCGAAACCAGCCTGGACTACCAAGTGAGTTCCAGGACAGCCTCCAAAGCCACAGAGAAACCCTGTCTCAAAAAACCAAAAACAAAAAAAAAAAGAGAAAGATTTCTTTTACCTCACACTGTAGGGCAGTGGTTCTCAACCTGTGAGTTGCGACCCCTTTGGGGGTCAAACGACTCTTTCACAGGGATCTCATATTAGATATCCCACATATCAGATATTTGTCTTATGATCTATAGCAGTAGCAAAATTACAGTTATGCAGTAGCAACAAAATCATTTTATGGTTGGGGGTCACCACAACCTGAGGAACCATATTAAAGGGTCACAGCATCAGGAAGAGTGAGAACCTCTGGAAGGGTTAGGGGTTCTAGCCCATGACTCTTTGGGCCTGTGGTGAGGCAGCATATTTTGCCAGGAGCACTGAGTGAATAGAATAGATCATGTGACCCAGGAGCAGAAGGGAAAGAGGAACGGAGCCAGGTCCCACAATGCCCATCAGGGCATGTTCCCAGTGTTAGGTCTCTCTGTGTAGGCTACACAGTTTTCTTTATCATTGTTTTTTTCTTTTTTAAGACAAGGTTTCTCTGTGTAGCCCTGGATGTCCTGGAACTCACTGTGTAGACCAAGCTGGCCTTGAACTCACAGAGATCCACCAGACTACTTCCAGAGTGCTGGGATTAAAGGCGTGCACCACCACTGCCCAGCATTTTTTTTTTTTTGAGACAGAATTCATCTACAAAACCCTGGCTGTCCTGAAACTCTCTATGTAGACCAGGCTGACCTGCCTCAATTTCCAGAGTGCTAGCATTAAAGTCAAGTACTATTATATCCAGGCTAGATTTCATATCTTAAGGGTTGTTCCCCCAAGCCTGGCATTTTGGGGGTGATGTCTTTAACACAGGGTCCTATGGACAGTTGGCATCTAAGCTTTGACTTGGAGCATAATGAGAACACACAGGGTACGTGTGGAGACCAGATTTAGATTCTCCCCAGTATGTATGTGTGAGCTTGGACTTGGCTTCCCATCTCTGGGTCTCAGTTTCCCCAGTTTTATGAAAGACATGGCTGGAAGTGAGAGGTCACAGTTACTGTGAGTTCCTGCTTCTCCCAAGTTCACCACACCCACAAGTGGGGTGTGCTGGTTCCTTCTCCAAGACGAGAAGAAAGAAGTTAAATGCCTTACCAACTTATCTAAAGGAGTAGAGAAAGAGGGAGGGAGAGAGAGGGAGAGAGAGAAAGGTAAAGTCAAAATTCAAAGGGTGGTCTTTCTGGCTCCAAAGCCAAGGGGAAAGTCTTTTTATTCTTTTCATTATGCTCCTTGCTTACCTACCTCTGAAATTATCAGTGTGTGTGTGTGTGTGTGTGTGTGTGTGTGTGTGAGAGATGAACTTGGATTTATAACATTTTTCCAAAATCCATTACTGAAATATGCAAATATAAGAGATGATTGTGGCTGGTGAGATATGTGGGTAGAGGTGTTTGCTGCCAAGCCTAACAATCTGAGTTCAATCCCCAGGATCCACACAGTGGAAAGCAAGAACTGACTTCGATACTCGTGCAGAGCCATGTGAATACCCGTCTACAGACACACACACACACACACACACACACACACACACACACACACACACACACACACACACACACAAAATAATCAGATGTCAGGAAAGGAATGATTACTACCCAGTGGAACAGAAAATAAGCCAAGGCTTTTGAGAAATACTCAGAAATGTTACAGAATGTGCTAGATAGACCTGTTTACATGAAATGGATACTTTCAAAACCACACTCAGGAGGTCACATTACAGAGGGATCATTTCCTGTCTCAGGATGAAAAGTCACAGGAATTCGGAGGGAAATAGTTTAACAGTCATTATTACACACTCAGAGTCAGATACGCTTAGCATCACGTGGCAAACCGTGTTAGTGAAAGTCTACACAGCATTGGGACTGACGGGGCCTCCTTCAAGTAGGGTCCGGAGCGTTCAGTCAGGGCAGAGGAGCCTGGCATCATGGAGAAGCTGTTTGTGTTGGTCTTTGCTCTCACTCTGCTGGTATTCTCCTCAGGTAGGTTCTCTCCCCAAGGACATGGCTTACTTTTGCGCTGACCAGACCATGCATGGTATATATTGATATTTTGATACACTTTCTTTTTGTAAGAGCAAGCTTCTAGAATTTCTATTATTTAAAAGGGAGGAAAATTACTTTCTTTGAAAAGCCTTAGGATGTGTTTGAGTACTATTTTCAGAAATGCTGAAGAGTCTCCAATTACATCTTCTTTTAAAGCTCATATCCGATCACAGAAGCTTGGTATGCTTTTATTATGCTAATATCTTTTAATGTTTCAATGAGCCTCTCCCACCAATAACAATTTTGTGATCGTAACTTCTCAGTGGAATGTGTGAAGACTGAATTTAACACAGACAATAGGATGGGGAAAATATGTTTTTTAAAACCATATTCAGTACTGGAGATAGCTCAGTTGGCAGAGTGCTTGCCCAGTTTTGCGTGAAGAAGTCCTGCGTTTAGTCCCAGGGCCACGTTAGTTGGACATGGTAATAAGCAACTGTAATTCCAGAACTCGGAGAATCAGAAGTTCAAGGTCATCCTAACTAAACCAGGGCCACGTTAGTTGGACATGGTAATAAGCAACTGTAATTCCAGAACTCGGAGAATCAGAAGTTCAAGGTCATCCTAACTAAACACGGAGTTTAAGACCAGTCAGCCCAAAGACCTTGCCTTAAAACAAAAACAAACGACCCCCCCCCATACATTACATAAAGGTCCACTTTAGATGAATGGGCCATTGCAGGAAATAAGAAGTAGATTCAAATCCCGAAGCTTTTGCTCCGAGTTAACCATAGTAGAAACAATTTAAAAATCCCCAAGTCCTCAGAGATGCCACACTCTTCGGGACAGATTTCTCTTTGTGTTCTAACCAAGACTGAACTTGCAAATCCCCTCTGGAGCGCTGTGACGGAGTGGGCACTCCTGGGCCTGGGGATCTCTCAAGTCTCTTCCTGGTTCTTTCTAGAAGCCTCCCCAGTACTGACAGAAAAGCAAGCCAAACAGCTCCTGAGGTCCCGGCGACAGGACAGACCCAGCAAACCCGGATTTCCGGATGAACCCATACGGGTGAGCGCTTGGCCCTGGCAATTTGATAGCACACACTGACTTCTGAATGGGCATCCATTCTGGTCACTGGGTGGGTTGTGAGATGGGGGTTCTATTACAGACCCAGGAGTGAGACACGTGTGATCTTCACCCCTGGAGACGCTGGCTCCACTCACCTACTGTGGACAGCGCACTGAAAACAGAAATAGCAGGGTCTGCGGGGCGTGCTGTGTATCCCCACATCCCGAGGGGGCTGCTCAGCATCTCCCTCTTCTGCTCTGCTGGCTCAGCAGCTGCTCCTCTTGTCTGATGCTAACCCACTGTCTGCCTCTTGGACCCCAGGCAGTCCACTAGCATCCTTAGCCAGCAGTGGCCATCTTGGGTAGGATCCTGGTACCAGCTGCCTCTGATTATGGCCTTTGTCCTCAGCTCTGCCCTGTGGGTTATGGTTTCCACTTGCCTAATCTTTCTGAGCCAGGGCACCTGTGATAGCTAATATTGATAGTTAGCACAGCGGGATCTAGAATCAGTTCTAAGATAAGCCTCTGGGTATGTCTGAGAGTTTCAAGATGGAAGACCCAACCTAAATGTAGATAGCACCGTTTTGTGGACTGGGTCCTTGATTGCATTTAAAAAGAGAAAGCAAGCTGGGTATTGGCTTTCATTTTTTTATTTTTTATTTATTTATTTATTTTTGGTTTTTCGAGACAGGGTTTCTCTGTATTGTCTTGGAGGCTGTCCTGGAACTCCCTTGGTAGACCAGGCTGGCCTTGAACTCACAGAGATCCGCCTGCCTCTGCCTCCCAAGTGCTGGGATTAAAGGCATGCACCACCAACGCCCGGCGGCTTTCATTTTTTTAAATAACATTAAAAAACTTTTCAAATCATAATATAATTACACATTCCCCACTTTTTTTTCCTCTCACCAACCCCTCTCAAATTCATGACCTCCTTTTCTTTAATTGTTGTACACACACACACACACACACACACACTCCTGAATACACAAACACTACCTACTCAGCCCGTATGCATACGATCTCAGGGTTGACAACAGATAACTAACTGGGGGGCTATTCCCTAGGAAAGACCATCTCTCCCCCTCTCAGCCCTCCCCAGTTGCCCACAGTTCTTTGTCTGGAGTTGAAGCCTTGCAAGCTCTCCCTCTTCCATGTTAGCATGTCCACTGATGCTGTCCTTGCTCAAGTCTTTGTTAGGCAGCCGTGTTGATAATAACTAGTTCATGGATGCAGTCTCTCTGACATTTCTAGGAGACAATCTCGCAGCACACTTCCTAGGCCTCAATGTGCATAATTTGCTATTTGAAAGAAGTTTATTGGGCCGGGAAAGTAGCTCAGTGGAAGAATGCTCACCTGGGATGCACAAGGCCCTTGATTTGATCCCTAGCATAGAAAAAGGAAAAAAACCATCGAAGGTAAATGCTGATAACTCAAGGCCAGACTATGTTGAGTCTTTGAATTTACTTTGCTTCTTCTCTCATTCTTTCTTTGCTTTACATTTACTTATTTAGTGGTGTGTACACACATGTGGAGGCCAGAGGTCCACTTGGGGGAGTTGGTTCTCTCCTTGTATCGTGTGGGAGCCGGGGACTGAACTCAGGTTTTCAGGGTTGGCAGCAAGCACCCTTACCCACTGAGCCCACCCGCTAGCCTGAGTCTCTGCTTTCTGTCTGTGTGGGAAGTTTCCTTACTTTACTGTCCATCATTGCACTCAGCTTTCTTTCCTGCACAGACATTGAATTTATGGCCTTGCATAAGCAGGGCAAACATCTGCCGTTCAGTTCATGCCGGCCTTTGAGGTTTTATCTGACAGTGCTTGCACCTGGCGGTATTGAGCTCTGTGGGGCAACGGCGTTGGCCCTTGCTGAAGGCTGTGTAGGCCTCCACCTGCAGGTGTTTGGACCGTTGGAGTTCAGTTTCCTGCCTCCTGCGAATGTGCTGCACTTGGCTTTGAACTCTGCCGTGTATGGTCGTCTCCCGGCTTACAAACTTCCGAGTGTACTCCTTTGCTGATGATATTGTGCCTGTTTCTGGCTTGGGGCCATCACCACCCCTGAGAACACGCACAGCTGGATCTGAATGCAAAGCATGGTGGCCCTGTGCTTGCCAGCGTGTCTTGGGATGTCAGTGAGGTCCCATCTTTGGCCAGGCAGGGTCAGGAGCTTCACAGAGGGGTGGACATCATCCAAGAACCCTTGGCTCTTGAAGAGCCAATCCTCCTTCTCCCCCGCCCCCTTTCTCTTTTTCAGACAGGGTAGGCTATCCTGGAACTCACTATGTAGATCAGGCTGGTCTTGAACTCACAGAAAGACACAGAGATCCACTTGCCTCTGCTTCCTGAGTGCTGGGCTTAAAGGTGTGAGACACCATGTCTGGCCTACACTCGTGTGTTTTGAAAAAGGTTTTGCAAAAAATATTATGTGTCAGACTATCTGAAATCCTTCTTCCATGCTCATCGTTGGGCCTTTACTTGAGCCCCTGGGCTGCTTGGAATGATGCCAGTGGAAAGCTGTCTCAGGGTCAGGTAGGATATCCCCTGGACATCATTGCAACGTGGTTGGGTTTTGTGCTGTATATATACACTGTGGAACCATCCAGGGATTTTAAGCAGGGCACTGATCTAATTAGGCCTGCTTCTCAGGAACCATTTAGAGGTTCAGGGTACAGAGCCTCTTAGATGCTGGCCTTCAAACCCTGCTGTACATGAGAAACACTGTTGACATGTCATCCATCTCCTTGTCATGGTACCCAGGAGATGGACTGGTGGATTTTGGCAAACGAGTACAGTTGTCAGCTTTTGGTGGGAAGGCATGTACTCCTGGTAACTAAGCCTAGAGCCCCACATGCTTACTGCCAATGTAACTAATGGAGATGCTGGCTAGTGGGATGGTTTTATTTTGTTTCTCACTAAGTGCCTGGATGAAAGAAAACTTCATCCGAGAATGAAGAAGCCATGGACAGGGGTGATGGGTGGTGCTTTGGGGGTAGTGTTAATTCAAAAGGAAAATGCGCATGGAGACTTGCAGTCTCTCCTCATGAAGATCTGTTGTGTGGCGTCTGTCATCTTGACTCTTGGCTTAAGCATCTCTGCGACTGGCTTCTGCCGAGTTACCAGCTTGCTGGAAACAGGTTCAGACAAGCTCTGCCCAAATACCCTGAGCTGTGACTGAAACAGTTTCTGTCTAGTTCCTACACCTAACGTGTTTGTGATGATCAGGCTGGCATCTGTCCTGGGGGAGCAGGGAGGAACGGGACCATTGATGGAGGAAGTTGTGGCCTGGAGGGAAACAGATGGCTCTGGGGAAGAAGCAGGGAGGGGCTTTAAATGCAGTAGGGCAGCCTGGAAGCAAGAGGGTGAGGCCCACTGTGTGTGGGAGATAGGAAGAGGGACCGGAGGAAGGGATATGAATGGAGCCCAAGGAAGGCAGTCTGCTAGGATCCCCTGCTCTAGGAAACCGCTGCTGCGTGTATCTGAACACTTGACGTTGGGTTTGCAGTTGATTTTGCTGCATGCTGTTTTATTCCCTGCAACCCCCAGCCACACACAACCATGTGTGTAAGTGATTTTCTGGAAGGAATGATGACTGGCAGGCAGTACACTGTGGGATGATCATGGAGGGGAAAGTCACCCCTGGAATCTAGAAGCTGCTGTGCTAGAGAGAGGAACGGGCTGTGGCGGTCATTTATAATTAACTTGGCTCTAGGTCTGCAGAGATTCTGGGGAGTAGGGTCTGGACTTCCTGGAAATGGGATGGGAGCGCCCCAGAGGCTGACATTCATTTAGGGACAAGGCATGTGGAGACAGATAGATTTTACTGAGTTGTCATAGTGACTCTATTGTGTCAGAGGACTTGTAGGTCTAATGAAGCCTCAACAAGCTCACAGAGGCCAAGACCAACCAAGCAACCCAACCTGCTTTGGACACAACTGAAGATGGGGCTCTAGAAGAGAAGGCAGAGTGGGAAGTCCTTTGAAGCTGAGATGTCCCCATAGGCTTGTGTTTTGAGTATTTATTCCTCAGCTGGCACTGGGGCCTGGCTGGGGAAGTGGTTCAGTAGGAGCAAACCTTTGAAAGTTGTACCTGGCTCCTGGTTCTTGCCCTTGGTTCACCATGATGTGAACAGTCACACACTCTTGACTGCTTTGAACTGAGATCTCTGCTTTGCCTTCCGCACCACGATTAACTAAATAAACTCTCTAAAACCACGAGCCAAAACAAGTCTTTTATAAGTCATATATATATATACATATATATATATATATATGATTATAGCTGGGTGGTGGTGGCATATTCTTTTAATCCCAGCACTTAGGAGACAGAGTCAGGTGTATCTCTGAGTTCAAGGCCAGCCTGGTCTATAGGGCTAGTTCCAGGACAGCCAGGGTTACACAGAGCAATCTTGTCTCTGCCGAAACAAAAACAACACAAAAGAATTTACATATATATATATGTATATTTTAACTTTTGATTTTTTTTCTCCCTGGGACAGGGTTTCTCTGTGTAGCCCTGACTGTCCTGAAACTCTCTCTGTAGACCAGACCGGTCTGGAACTCAAAGAGAATCACCTGCCTCTGCCTCCTGAGTGCAGGAATCAAAGGCGTGTGCTACCATCGCCACTACCACTAGGCTTATTAATATTTTCAGTGGTTTGTATTTTCATGTATCTGCATGGGGATTATGTGCTTGTGAATGCAGGTACCCAAAGAGGTCAGAGGTAACAGATTCCCTTGAGCTGGAGTGACAGGTGGTTGACAGCCACCCGACATGGGTGCTGGAAACTGAACTCTGGTCCTCTGGAAGAACAGTAAGTCCTAATTACTGAGCTGTCTCTCCCGCCTGAAGCTTCCTATCCTGTATTGTTTCTGTCAGGTACTGAGGTTGCAGTGGTGTGAAAGTAACAAATATAAAAATGATTCTGAGCTCCTCTGGAAGAGCCCCTCAGCCATGGGAATGCGTGTCTCCATCTTCAGGGCTGGATCTCAGTTCTTGCTGCCCAGTGT